TTCCACTGATCATCCTTGAAATGTTTGTACAACTTGATTGGAGTCCACCTGTGGTAACTTCTGTTGATTGGATATGATTTGGAAAGGCACACACCTGTCTATATAAGGTCCCACAGTTAACTGCACGTCAGAGCACAAACCAAGCCATGAAGTCGATTGTGAACAGGATTGCATTGAGGCACAGATCTAGGGAAGGGGACAGAAAAATTTCTGCAGCATTGAAGGTTCACTGAAGCATGTAGCCTCTGTTAGCCTTAATTGAAGAAGTTTGAAACAACCGGGACTCTTCCTAGAGCTGGCCTCCTGGCCAAACTGAGCAATCAATGGAGAAGGGCCTTGTCTAGACTGGTGACCAAGAAGCTGATGGTCAATCTAGTTGAGCTCCATGATCATATGTGGAGACAGAAGGACAAACATCACTGCAACACTCCACCGATCTGGCCAGACTCAATCCTCTCCTCAGTGAAGACACATGAAAACACACTTGGTATTTGCAAAAAAGCACCTAAAGGACTCTGAGAAACAAGATTCTCTGGTCTGATGAACAGTGTTGCCGACTTAGTGATTTTGTCGCTATTTTTAGTGAGTTTTCAGACCCTTCTAGTGACACATTTTCAAAATAGCGTTTTTTCTGGTGTTATTGGAGACTTTTGGCGACTGACGTGAAAGCACATATCGTGATCCCGCCCTGGCTTGCATTCAGCACAGCCCATATGAAAAAATGCTATAGTAATTTAGAGTAAATACTATAGTGTTTTTGAACCGTACTATAGTAAAGTACATGAATTATTTTGTTGTGGTAATTCTATAGTTGCTGTGGTAATATATGAACTATAGTAACAAACTAATTACTTCACCGAATACTGTACTAAGTTTTCTATTACTATAGGTATATTATACTACAATACACTACAGTTTACTGTAGAAAAACTAAAGTATACTACAGTATTTATTACAGTTTATCAGTTCTCTATAGTTAATACTACAGTAGCATTCATTAAAGTGTTGTAAATACTATAATATATACAGTATAATACACTTTACTATAGTATGGTTCAAAAATACTATAGTATTTTACTATAAATTACTATAGTATTTTTTTAATGTGGGAGGTATTGCCTTTTTCATGTCTTATCGTATGTGTATTTGATTTTATCAGACGATGACTCAATTATAAATCAGGATTTTTGTGCAGATTAACATCTTGAAAGGGAGAGCCGGGTAGTCTTAAAGAAAAACATAAAATATATAAATGAAAACAGTTTTTTTGAGAATTTGGCTGCATTAAAATGCAGTATGAGCACAGAGAGGCAAACAAATGTAAAGGCAATAAGACGCAATGACGTCATGATTATGCTAATTAGCGCATGACGTCATTGAGTGACTTTTCAAGATGGCTTTAGCTACTTTCCATTGAACACACTGCTGATGAACCTCAATTCCAAGCATCATGTTTGAAGGAAAGCAGCTCTGCTCATCACCTGCAGAGTACCGTCCCTCATGCTGTGGGGCTGTTTTTCAGCGGCAGGGACCGAGGGACTCGTCAGAGTAGAAGAAACGCTCAGTGCACCAAAATATAGAGATAGCTTTAATGAAAACCCAGTCCAGAGCATTCAGAACCTCAGACTGGGCAGAAGGCTCACACGTCATGATTATGCTAATTAGCGCATGACGTCATTGAGTGACTTTTCAAGATGGCTTTAGCTACTTTCCATTGAACACACTGCTGATGAACCTCAATTCCAAGCATCATGTTTGAAGGAAAGCAGCTCTGCTCATCACCTGCAGAGTACCGTCCCTCATGCTGTGGGGCTGTTTTTCAGCGGCAGGGACCGAGGGACTCGTCAGAGTAGAAGAAACGCTCAGTGCACCAAAATATAGAGATAGCTTTAATGAAAACCCAGTCCAGAGCATTCAGAACCTCAGACTGGGCAGAAGGCTCACCTTCCAACAGGACAGTGACCCTAAGCACACAGCAAGAGTGGCTTAAAGACGACTCTGAGAATGTCCTTGAGTGACCCAGCCACAGCCTGAGCTTGAACCCAATCTAATATTTCTGGAGAAACCTGAAAATGTGCGTCTGCCCCCATCCAACCTGACAGAGCTCGAGAGGTGAAGAGGCGAGGAGAAGAATGGCAGATAATTGCCAAATGCTACTGAGCAAAGCTTGTCGCATCAAACACAAAAAGATTTGAGGCTGTAATTGGTGCCAAAGGTGCTTCAGCAAAGTACTGAGCAAAGGCTGTGAATACTTATGTACATGTGTTTTATTTTTCTTTCGTTTTTTATTTTTAATAAATTTGCAAAGATTTCAAATAAACTTCTTTCACATTGTCATTGTGGGGTATTGTTTGTAGAATTTTGAGGAAAATAATGAATTTAATCCATTTTGGAATAAGGCTGTAACATAACAAAATGTGGAAAAAGTGAAGCGCTGTGAACACTTTCCGGATGCACTGTATCATCTTAATTACTGGCATTATATTTGGACTGTACACTGGCCTGCTGTTGCCTGGTTTTTCAGAAGGTTTCTCTCTTTTTCTTCACTATCCAACAGCAAATGATGTTTTTCTTTTCTTGTCACAGTTGCTTTGTCTTTCGCACTAGAGGACCAGAGACATCATTCACTGTGTATTATAAGCGTCATGGCATGGCTTTCCATGAACCTTTCAGGTAAACTGCTTACAAGTGGACGATATAAGCACAATCTTAAACATTGTCATTTAGATGCATCAATTACCTGTGGCAGTGACACACACCACCAAACTTTAATACTTTCAAACTTACAGATTTCCACGTGACATGTAAACTGTGCTGTCACCCGGTGATAAATGGTTCAATGTGGACTATTAGGCTTTAGTGTATCATAAACACTATCATCGTGAATTTCTGTTAAGCTGCTTTGAAACAATGCGTATTGTGAAAAGTGTTATAGAAATAAACTGACAACTTGCCTAATGCATTCTGATCAATCCATCTCATCTGTATCTCCATTTGACACAAAAACAGACAAGCTAGTGTATCAGTGGACTAAAGTTTGCGTGTGTCTATCACAGTTCAGATACAGACTCTCTAGTCTATAGTCACCTTTATTTTAATGACATGTCATACGCCAAAGATTGTTTCAAAGCAGCTTCACAGTGATAAACAGATAAGTAACAGAAGCAAACTTCATAAATGACGAATCCTAATTCTGCTGTAAAGCAGCTCTAACACAATAGAGTTATTATTCAGCTCCAGTCAGATCAACAACTGTATAAAGTTAATCTATTATGAAACAAGTTCAATTCAGCCATAAGCAGCTCTACTGAAGACAGCAGTGTCATTATTCAGTTCGACTCAGTTCAGTGTTGATGCAACTCAATGCCAAATTTTGCAAAAGACAATAGTGTTATTTTTCAACTTCAGGTGTGTTCTCATCTGATAGTGTCAGTGCCATCACATTGGTACATTTACAGATGACATCTAGAACTAGTGCCATTTAGTATGTGGATATCTCACATGTCTGACGTAATCTGGTCTTCAAAGAGCTTCTGGATAGAAGGACTGTATCTACTGCTCAAAGAATGTTGTTAATTATGCATGGTGTGGAAGTGACTTCAGTGAGCTGAGATACACACTGATCATGCCAAGATCTGACCGCTCTCAGTGAGAAACGCAGGAGGTTATGAGCGTCTCAGGTAACTCAGGCCGTGCTCGAGAGGCTTTCTTCTGGCTGGAGCGGTGAAGCCCTCACTGGTACAGTCTGTTCAACCTCGGGACGTCCGGTGAGGTGATGAGCCTTCAGAAACACCCACATGAAGGCATCTAGGAATGACAGCATGTTACACAAACAGACTCAGACTCAGATGTGGTTTGAAAGCACCTTACACTCCGGTGAAGACGGCACCGACACTGAAGCATCAGCCTCTTATCTCAACGTGAATACAGAACCTAAGATTAGCTTTGAGTGTGAATGAATCTAAACTAAACTCTGTAAAGCACATGAGCTGCCTTCATTGCAGATTTTGCCGAATTGTAATTGCTAAATGTGACCCTGGACCACAAAACCAGTCATAAGGTCAACCAGTCAACTATTTGAAAATCTGGAATCTGAGGGTGCAAACAAATCTAAATATTGAGAAAATCATCTTTAAAGTTGTTCAAATGAAGTTCTTAGCAATGCATATTACTAATCAAACATTAAGTTTTGATATATTTACAGTAGGACATTTACAAAATATCTTCATGGAACATGATCGTTACTTAATATCCTAATGATTTTTGGCATAAAAGAGAAATGTATAATTGTGACCCATACAATGTATTGTTGGCTATTGCTACAAATATCCCCCAGCGACTCAACACTGCTTTTGTGCTGCAGGGACACATGTATGAAAAGCAGAAGTTCAAAGACACACACACAGAGTTGTGTTCACAAGTTTACATTAACCTCGCTAAATCTGCTAAATTGCACATTGTTTTTTATTGAGTTATTTCACAGAGTTTACATACACTTGATTCTTAATGCTCAAGTGTGCTTTAAAGCAGCCTTTAAGCAGTAAACAAGAGAAAAGCGTCAGTGATCGGAAATCAGTCGTTTGAGTTTAAATGACACTCAGTTTCAGCTATAAATGGTCCCGCAGAAGCATTATTCAGTAGTTTCCTCTACAAATAAATCAGTTCATTTGACTATGTTTGTTGTAACAGTAAGTGGGGTGTAGAAACTATGTGTACTATGTAGAAAACAGACATCAGTGTAAAGATTGGTTGTGTTGGTTAAATCTTGTGCTGCTGCTGCTGCTGCTTCTGTTGAACTCAAGTTTAGTGAACACTATTGTGTGCGTGTGCTACATCTACACTAGTGCACCAGACAATATCAGCAGCCTTTAAGCAGTAAACAAGAGAAAAGCGTCAGTGATCGGAAATCAGTCATTTGAGTTTAAATGACACTCAGTTTCAGCTATAAATGGTCCCGCAGAAGCATTATTCAGTAGTTTCCTCTACAAATAAATCAACACCTTTGAGTAACTTTCAAGGAATACATTTAAGAAAAACTCAAACAAACAGCAGCTTAAACTAAAAATACATATCTACATACAGATGATTTAGAACTGTGTGCGAACTAACAATCTTGAATTTATGGGTATAGAAACTGAAGAAGTTGAACTGTGTTTGATTTCATGTAACGCTTAAATATGACCACTTGATTGTTTTAGTAATAACAACTTTGTGGTTTGTAGTCAACAATAAACTAATAACTATGCTGCATCAAACATAGGCTCTCTTTTGATTATTTTGAGGCAGTTGTGTTTAGGCTAGTGTTTATATTGGGAACAGCAGATGGCAAGTGTAGCTCCTGATTGAAGACTTTGACACCAGCTCCCGAATGTTATAAAGCTCTGTCATATTTACAGTTTATTAGAAGGATTGGTGCAACAGTGTGTCCTCTGGTTATTAACGAGTGCCCTCAAACCTCGCCATTAATGCGACCTCCTCCCTGACAGAGGCTCGTTATGTGAGCGACAGCAGCGTCGGGTCTGAAGCGTCGGCTGGAGACGCGTGGATCCTCCTGGAGGGTTATTCTGGGAGGTCTCTCTCTCTCTCAGCAACAGGGGCTTCTGTGTTAACTGAGGCTAAATAAACACAGATGAACTGTCGAGCACATTCACAAAAATGTCCTGGCAATGTCTGCACACGAGTCTGGACACCGCAGGAGCAGCGCGTCCCTCGCAGACACACGCAGACATGAGCTCTGAGCAGCAGAAGACCGAGCTGATGAGCGCTTCTGTCTTCTCACTGGACTTTTAGCGATGAAGAACCCTCATCTGAGCGAGATCCTGCCGTCAGGAGACAAGAGACCCAAGCGCAAAGCGAGGGAGCCAGTGAGGCGCGGCATGCCTAACGCGCACCGCGCGGCGGAGACGGAGACGGAGACGGAGCCAGAGACGCGCGGCACGCGGACCCTCGCGTCGAGGGACGACGGCGCGTTCAGTGCCGCGCTGGACATGAGGATCAACGCCGCGCCTGACTCCAGACTCGGAGAGCAGCCTGGCAGCGGCAGAAGCGTCGCGGCGCAGGAGCGAGCGTTGCCTCAGGAATGGCCTCGGGAACGCGCCGTCCAGCAGACGCGCCGACTGCTCGCGAACGCGCGCGAGAGGACGCGCGTGCACACCATCAGCGCAGCCTTCGAGGCGCTGCGGAAACAGGTACAGTCTGCGCATGCGCCACCGCGCGCTCTCAGAGCCACGGCAGTCAACGCTAGAGTACAACTGACTGACTGCAAGCTGCAAAGAAGCTTTTTTGACTGTTGTCCGATTCACTTTATTTTGACGGTCGCTTGAACACATTCTGACTAGTCTATGAGTAGTGCTGCACCTACATGCCTACTGACTCTCATTAAAGTATTAGTAGAGTATTACCGACTGCTCGCGAACGCGCGCGAGAGGACGCGCGTGCACACCATCAGCGCAGCCTTCGAGGCGCTGCGGAAACAGGTACAGTCTGCGCATGCGCCACCGCGCGCTCTCAGAGCCACGGCAGTCAACGCTAGAGTACAACTGACTGACTGCAAGCTGCAAAGAAGCTTTTTTGACTGTTGTCCGATTCACTTTATTTTGACGGTCGCTTGAACACATTCTGACTAGTCTATGAGTAGTGCTGCGCCTACATGCCTACTGACTCTCATTAAAGTATTAGTAGAGTATTAGTAGAGTACTAGTAGAGTACTTTGTGCTGCAGGGACACATGTTAGTAGAGTATTAGTAGAGTACTGGTAGAGTATTAGTAGAGTACTGGTAGAGTACTAGTAGAGTACTGGTAGAGTACTAGTAGAGTATTAGTAGAGTACTAGTAGAGTATTAGTGGAGTATTAGTAGAGTACTGGTAGAGTACTGGTAAAGTATTAGTAGAGTATTAGTAGAGTACTGGTAGAGTACTAGTAGAGTATTAGTAGAGTACTGGTAGAGTATTAGTGGAGTATTAGTAGAGTACTGGTAGAGTACTGGTAAAGTATTAGTAGAGTACTAGTAGAGTACTGGTAGAGTATTAGTAGAGTATTAGTAGAGTACTGGTAGAGTATTGGTAGAGTATTAGTAGAGTGTTAGTAGACTGGTGGGGTTAGGGTTAGAGTACGTTGACATTGTTACTTTGTTACTCTGTTAATCACAATAAAGGGTTAGCAAATATAAATCAGACAGTCTACTAATCTTCTAATGAGTGTTATGTTGTCATGTAGGTGCAGCGTTACTTAGTGTCAACTGAATGTTCAAAAGGGACCATCAGAATAAAGTGTTACCATCAAAAACTCATTTTTAAACACTTAATCAGTGTTGGGCGGGCAGTGGTTACACTTTATTAAGGTGTCCTTACAGGGTAATTATACATTTAAGTACTGCGTAATATTAATTAACTACATGTACTTATATAGTTAGGGTTACTTGGATGTAATTATGCATAATTTATTGTTATTATAATAGTAAGTACATGTAACAAGGACACCTAAAAATAAAGTGTTACCCTATAATCTAGTTACAGTAATAATCTTAGGCTACTTCGTGCAGTAACTAGTAGTGTAACTGATTACTAATAAGATTTCAGTAATAATATTAGTTACTGTCTATAAAACAGCTAGTTGCTTTCGATGCCTCAACACCCGCTGATTTAAAAATCCAACAATCCATAATTCCTAGATTTAGCTTCATAATTGTCATGCCTTGCACAGACACATGAAGTCACCAGAGCAGCAGGCGAGCTCGGAATATGGACAAGCTTACATTCAGCGGATGGAAATATTGCTGGTACACTGATATTGTGAGGAGAACAGATGATCTGAACACTGTTGTGTACGTGACGTTACTTTACTCTGCCGCTACACGGCTTGCCCTCATCCCTCTGATCCTGATATACACTGTATTACTAGAATTAAAAACATTTTTAGAAAATGAAACATTTTCTTACAAACTTATGTGACTTCTTTTGATAAAATACATCATGGAATATAACCGTATAATCATAACTAACTGCGATCCAGTGTGGATTTTGGTCGAATAATGAGGCAGAAATATATTGTAACATTTTAGAAAAAGTTTATGTGGAAGATACACAATTACAGCTTCTGTGGAGCGTGAAAGAAAAGTAATGCAACTAGTAGTGTGACTAATTACAGCTGCCAGAAAGTAATAATAATTAGTAATAATATTACTTTTGAAAGGAGTAACTAGTAATGAGTAATACTTTTTTTTTTTTTGAGTAACAGTCCCGCAACACTGCACTTAATATAGATCCTCACTGAATAAAACACATCCAGGCCACACACTCATACTCAGTTTTGAAAGATAGCCAAGAGCTATTCAAGTCTTGCATTATTGCGGCACACACCTAAAATAACATCACATCTATTTCTATAGCATGTTCTATGACAGAGATCGTTTCAAATCACCAGGAAAACATCAGAATCAGTGATGCAACCTCGATGAAATCCTGATTCAACTCTACCATGACAATACCTTTTTGTGAACATGTTTTTCTGAGAATAGCTCCAGCCTCAGTGTTAGGTCAGATCAGCGACAGTGTGAAGTTCATCAGTTTAAGTTCAGTTCAGCTATAAGTTGTTCTACAAAAGGCAGCAGTGTGATTATTCAGCTCGAGTCAGTGCAGTGCTGATAATACCAGTGTCGTAAAGTTCAGTTCAGGTTATGTTCACATCAGATGGTGTGGGTCTGTGTGGAGTTAAAGGGTTAGTTCACCCAAAAATGACAATTAGCCCATGATTTACTCACCCTCAAGCCATCCTAGGTGTGTATGATTTTCTTCTTTCAGACGAATCCAGTCGGAGTTATATTAAAAAACATCCTGCCTCTTCCAAGCTTTATAATGGCAGTGAATGGGTGTTATTTTTCAAAGAAGTCCAATAAAGCACATCCATCCATAATACAAAATAGCCTCACACGGCTTCGGGGGTGAATAAAGGCCTCCTGTAGCGAATCAACATGGTTTTGTAAGAAAAAAGTCCATATTTAAAAGTACGCATGTTCACAATAGAAAGCCGTTAGCAGAAGCTAGAGAAAACGGTTTCTAAATATGGATACTTTTCTTACAAAAATGCAACGGTTTGCTACAGGAGGCCTTTATTCTCCCCCCAGAGCCGTGTGAGGTATGTTTTATTATGGATGGATGCTCTTTATTGGACTTCTTTTGGAATATTGAAAAATAACCCCCATTCACTGCCTAGCCAGGACGTTTTTTAATATAACTCTGATTGGATTCGTCTGAAAGAAGACAGTCATGTACACCTAGGATGCATTGAGGGTGAGTAAAACATGGGGCAATTTTCATTTTTAACAGACTAACCTGCCTGTGAGGAAGACTTCTGAGGAATCATTAATACATTTGCATTGCTTGTTTCTCTAGACCTCACAATCATCACGCTGATTTTTACACTTCCTCGCACACTGACCCTCGTCTGCTTTCACAGGTGCCCTGCTACTCATACGGCCAGAAGCTCTCCAAGCTGGCTATATTAAGAATCGCTTGCAACTACATACTGTCTCTGGCTCAGCTGGCAGACCTGGACTACTCTCCGGACCAGAGCACGCTGAGCTTCAGGGAGTGTGTGGAGCAGTGCACCCGGACGCTGCAGGCCGAGGGACGCTCCAAGAAGAGGAAGGTAACCAGTCTAAACGTAAAGAAAACAATGCGTGCATTTCAACCGGTGCCTCTAGAAATACAAGTTGCTCTCATGTGAACCACAACACTGACCCACAAACTGTGAATAATTATAGAAGCTTTAGGCTCAGCTGCATTCAGTTACACTTCATTTTGACAGTCCACTTTAGACTTCTGTTTACTGTAAGTAACTTTGTGACTACATGTCATCTAGCAGTCACTAGAGTTGGAATTAGAATTAGTAGTTTAAGATCTGTTAACATTTTATTTGGATGCTCCCCAACAGACATTCAGCTGACTATAAACGTGCAACTACACGTCAGCTAACTCTATTTAGAGTATTAGTAAACTGTTAGGTTTTGTAGAATAAGTTGACATTGTTACTTGCAAAGTGACTTGCAGTCATAGCTGGGTAGATTACTTACAGATTGTAGGTAATTACTCATTTACTAATTTTAGGTAATGTAATCTGACTACTTTTTTAGATTACTTTTAGATGACTTTTTATCAAACTTGTGTTAAATGTACCATAGTGATATAAAAACGCACAGAGAAATCAAATATATTTCATGTATCGATGTCAACATCATAAAATGCTTTGAGAGTTGATAGAGAGTGAATAGTGAGTTCATAAAAACCTAAAAATTAATTATGCATACATTAAAATGTCAAATAAAATCAATTTAAAGACTTGAACACTAAAAATAGAAATATATTTACCTGTCAGTGTGACCATTGCGTTGTTAAATTATTGAAATATTAACTTCTGCGATATTTCAACAAGTATTTTATTTTAAGGGGTGACAAAAATGTTTGGGCGTCCCTGCATTAAACTCACAGTAATAAACATGAAAACAACGACGACACACCCAAAGTCTTCCAGGTTTCAAATATTTTTGTCCAGACTTCCAGAATCAATAAAATATTTGAATAATTTACTGCCGTTGTGTGAATAACATGTAATCATGTAATCCATAAAAAGTAACTGTAATCTGATTACAATTATAAAAAAATTGTACAAAAATTGTCTAAGTAGTACAAAAACTAATTTTTTGGAATCTGATGAACTGGCAGTCAATAGAATGTCCATCAAAATAAAGTGTGAGCAGATATTAAGCAGACAGACTGTTAGTCGCAGAGTTACTGACGGTTGATAGAAATCCTGAACGATCAGTGTAAAGTGTAAGCCTGCATTCCTAGACATAATTCTGCCATCCTCTAGTTATATTTTCTGCAAGCGATAACAGTAAGCAAGGCATTGGTGCGTATATGTACCCATTAGAGGGAATTTCCCCTCGCCTAATAACATCCCGTTAAATGAAATGATCATCAGTGTTTGTCAGAGGCAGGACTGCCTGGCTGTTCCGCCAGCTCTTTCCTCCGCGGCCGAATAAATGGAGTGATTGATGTGTTTTGGGGGAGTTTTATGACACGGTCATCTATGTAGTCCTGCAGTGCCATGTCGCTCATGACTCTCACGTAGTGCGTTTTCTTCTGATAGGAGAGTTCAGAAGGTTTGTAATGAGATTATTAGCAGCAACGGAGCAGCTGTGACAGAGCTGCACACATGAGAAGCCAGCAGGCATGTGAGCTCATGCGCTCCCCCCGTCCCGTCCCGTCAGAGCCAGACACCAGATGTTCGCAGCACTGCTTGGGAAGTCCTGCTGGCGCCACTCAGGGCAGAGGGCAGGGGGAAGGCACGCGAGCCGAGCCCAGAGAACGCACTCCTGCAGGAACTGGCACATTCCCCAGCGCTCCCTTGGCCATCTGTTCCAAAAAAACACTTTGAAATGAAAACGCAGCGCTCATCACTCTCTTACGGAGCAGCTGTTACAGAGGCCAGGGGAAACGAGAGGAGGAGGAGGGGCGCCGGCCAAGAAAGAAATCCCTTTGTCAAGTAGAGCCAGTGAGTCTGAGGGGAAAAATGTTTTGGCACAGCAGAGGCTTGAAAAGCACTGAGAGAACATGGAAATGTGCATGAATGTCCGTTTCGAAACGAATAGGCCGCTTCATAGTCAGAATAGCATGCTTTTGTTGTTTGTCTTTGAGAGCTAACATTGATTCTGTTGTTGTTCTTTCACAACAGGAATAAAATGAAGAAAGTGAAGGTGGAGAAAGAAGGACCTCAGTCCATCAACATGAAGACGCTCTCCCCGTGCGGGAAAAACTGTGTAATCAAAGTGTAAAGTGATTTTACACTGCACTATTGACTTTACTACAGCGAACCGAGTCGAAAACAAAACCGCTCCAGGCTCTGAATAATATGCTGGTCTACAACGTTTGCACGGCAGAAACACAGATGATGTGAAATCAGCTCATTTTCCATTGTTGCAGCAGACTGCTTATTTATTTTGGTTTGTTTTGCAGTGTTCTTAAGAACTCAAACACAGCTGCAAATTCTGTCAAAAATGTCCTGCCATGTGCAAGAAAGTGCACTTTTTATTCCCCTTTTTGTAATCCATATAATTGTTATTCTTTATTTCATCAAATACATCATAAGCTATCATATAAATGAAAATGCATATGATAAATTCAGCACTCATCTCTTGTCTTCCATTTGGTTTGTATTAACAATCTGTTCTTAAACAGGAGTCTATGTGGCTCTGTCAGCCAGTCGCTGACTGTATTTTATAAATGTATTTACTGTTGAAATACTTTGTTGTAATTAAACGTAGTCCAAGAATTTATCTTCATGACTGAAGAACTGCTTTTTCTGAGGCATTAATAGGCAGTTGTTGGTGACCTGCCAAACATCAGACTCTAGGAGGAACCAGATCTGAACATTCTGACCCGTGTGGGATTCACAAACAAGCCTCTATCGCGTCATTCACACAATTAAGTTATTCATTCATTTGTGTTAAAGTCAGTATTATCTGTTGTTCTTCATGCACACACACACACACACACACACACTCACTCACACACACAC